AAGGGCAATACAACTCAAGAAGCTTGGGAAATTTTGCAGTGTCTGGGAAACACTGAAAAATATGATCATAAAAGCCCTGTCCAGCACAATACCACTGAAAAAGAAAAACAATAAATTCAAGATGAAACCAGCATAGCTGCACAAAGATGTCTCTGACACACTGAAAGACAAAAAGGACAGGTACAAAAAATGGAAAGAGGGACACACAACTAAGTCTGATTATCAGCAGATAGCCAGAACATGCAAAGATGAAGTCAGGAAAGCAAAGGCTCAAAATGAACAAAGGCTTGCAACAAAAGTCAAATATAATTTTAAAAAGTTACTTTCAACATATAAATAACAAAAAAGTCAAGGAAACAATTGGTCCACTAAAGAGAGAAGATGGCAAGCAAGTAACAGGCAGTACAGAGAAAGCAGAACTGCTTACCCATTCTATACATCAGTTTTCATGCAAAAACTATTGTCCAACCTACCAAAAACATACCTCTAAAAGACAGACTAAAAATTAAAATTAAAATAAGCAAGAAAATATTATGAGAACACCTGTCTGACCTTGATGAATATAAATCATAGGACCTGACAGATTACATCCCAGAGTTCTGAAGGAGTTGGCAGATGTTATCTCAGAACAATTGTACCCTATCTTTCATCCTGGTTTCAATCCTGGTGCATTGGGGAACTATCTGAAGATTGGAAAAGATGTGAAGTGGGTCCCATTTTGAAAAAGGGGTGGGGAGAATAAAGACCCAGGAAACTGCAAACCAATCAGCCTAACGTGTATACTTGGGAAGATACTGGAAAAGATAGATCTGCAAACATCTAGAAACAAATAGAGTTATAACTAGAAGCCAGTGTGGGTTGGTTAAAAACAGATCATGTCAAACTAATCTTATTTCATACTTTGACAAAGTGACTAAATTAGTAGACCAGTGAAATGTTGTAGAAATAGTTTACTTAGTCTTCTGTAAGGCATTCAACAAAGTAGACCACAATCTACTTCTTAGTAAGGTAGAAAATGTGGGATAGATCGCATCACCACCAGATGGATTTGTAACTGGCTGACAAACTGTACTCAAGAAGTAGTCCTTAATGGTGCAACATCTACATGAGGGAAGTAGGCAGTGGGGTACCACAAGGTTCTGTTTTGGGCCCAGTACTGTTCAATATCTTTATATATGACTTAGAAGGGGAACTCATCAAATTTTCAGATGACACTAAGCTGGCAGGAATAGCCAACATCCTAGATGATAGACACCAAGATCCAGTTGGATCTCAACAGACTTGAACATTGGGCCCTATCTAACAAAATGAAATTCAATGTAGAGAAAAGTAAAGTCTTGCACTTAGGCAAGATAAACCAAAAGCACATGTACAGATTAGGTAGAACCTGGCTTAATAGCACTAACTGTGAGATGAATCTTGGAGTTCTACTGGATAATCAAGGAAATATGAGCCAGCAGTATGCAGCAGCAGACAAAAAAAGCCAATGCAATCCTAAATTGCATTAACAGAGGGATTGAATCAAGATCATGTGAGATACTAGTAAGTAGTAAAGCCTTAGCAAGGCCACACCTAGAATACTGCATCCAGGTTTGATGACCATGCTATAAAAAAGATGTTCAGACACTAGAAAGGGTGCAGAGAAGAACAACAAAGATGATTACAGGCCTGAACGCTAAAACATAAAGAACAGTTAGAAGAACTGGCCATGGCTAGTCTAGTGAAGAGAAGGACCTGGGGTGACATGATAGCAGTGTTCCAATATTTGAGGGGCTGTCACAGAGAAGACAACCTATTTTCCGAAGCATCCAAAGACCAGACAAGGAATAATGGATGGAAACTGATCAAGGAGTGATTTAACCTAGAAATAAGGAATTTTTTTTATGACAGTGAGAACAATTAACCAATGGAACAGTTTGTCTTCAAAGGTTGTGGGTGCTTCATCACTGGAGGCTTTCAAGAAGACATAAGACAGCTACTTGTCAGAAATGGTATAGAGCACTGATGGCAAACCTTTTTTGGCTGCCGTGCCAAAAGCGGGGGGAGCACAGGGGGTCATGCACTGGTGTGCCACACCCATAATGCTATGTGTGCAACCCACCAGCACGCGCGCATGAGCGCAATCAGCAACATCCTCCACCCCACTTTTGCCACTTTTTTTTTTGCCTTCCCCAGGCTCCAAGGGCTTTCTAGGAGTCTGGGGAGGGCAAAAACAGCCTCCTCTGACCCACCAACCCCCAGATGCCCTCCGGAGGCCTCAGGAGCTTCCCTGAAGTCTCCGGAGGGCAAAAAATGGACCTACAGGGAACCTGGAAGTTTGGAATGGTGACTTCTAGTTTGTCCATAGGGCCAATTTTCGACCTCCAGAGCCTTCAGGAGGCTTCCCTGGGGCTCCGGAGGTCGAAAAACGGACCTACAGACAAACAGGAAGTCACTTCCGGTTTGCTCGTAGGGCCGTTTTTTGCCCTCCGGAGCCTTCAGGGAAGCTTCCTGAAGGCTCCGGAAGTCGAAAATCGTCCCTACAGACAAACAGGAAGTCACTTCCGGTTTGCGCGTAGGGCTGTTTTTTACCTTCTGGAGCCTTTAGGGAAGCCTCCTGAAGGCCCAGAGATCAAAAATCGGTCCTATGGACAAACCGAAAGTCACCATTCCCAAACTTCCGGGTTCCCCGTAGGTGACTTCAGCCTTCTTTTGAGGCCGTTTTTTGCCCTCCGTAGGCATCCCTGAAGCCTTCAAAGCATGAAAAACCACCCCTACGGGCAAACCGCAAGTTCGGGAACGGACTTCCAGTTCGCTCATAGCACTGGCTTTTGCCCTCCAGAGCCTTCAGGGAAGCCTTTTGAAGGCCCCTGCAGCCTCTGGAGATAGAAAATTGTCCCTATGGACAAACTGGAAGTAACTTTTTATTTATTACCATTTCCTTCCTACCTACCTCTTTGATGTTGGAGTCAAAGTGCTCCATCCTATGTCACTGTTTGTTTCTTTGTCTCTGATAGCTGCCTTTGGAGAATTTGCTTCCATCTGAATGGAATCTGATATTTTGGAATGTTGACTCAAAGTGCCTCTTTTGGGATTGCTTGTTTTATTTTTTGAAACTGTTCTTCTTCCCTCCCTCCTCTACGCCTGAGTGCATTTTTAAATGCTTATGAGTTAAGGTGCCCCACTGATACTTTGTTTGTTTCTTTGTTTGCAACATAAGTTGCTGGCCTTTTGGTATGGCAGTCATTGCATCCTCCGTGCCTGCCACCCCTCATAATAAGCCTGCAAATATCATGGTCCTCCAAACTATCCCTGCTAAATATGCACCTCCTCATTCATCATGATAGAAAGAATTCTAACGTTTGAGAAAAAGGGAGAAAAATGAAGGAAATGGTAATAAATAAAAAGTAATAAGTATTATCACATGAAGTAGAAACTTGCTATGTTATAGGAATTTGTTCTATTGTAATATGTATATGTGTTGTGCTGCTGTAAAGGTGTTTTCCTTTTGAGCATTTGGTTGTTGGGCATTTGTGGCACATGTGTCTCTATGAAAGCATGTGCCTGCAGTCAGTTGTATCCTTCCTGCATTGGGATCTGGATCCTTCATGGGTCCTTTTAAATGCCATCCACATTCCCTCCAGGAATTGGCACGGAACTCAAACTATCAGAGCAATCCTCACACTTTTTGTGCTGTTAATAGGCCAATCAGGAATAACAAAAGACAAACTCTGCCAGAAAAGAATCTGCCTATGTTAGGATATATGACTGAATTTTACAATGTAATTAGATTATATGACTAAAGTAATTATAATATTAAGAGCTTTGGCGTAAAAGTAAGAGAAGGAGTCCGAGGAATTGTGACAAGTAGATTTTAACTTTCCTGTGCCATTGTGTACTTGGAGGGGGGGATGCAAAGGATTTCTAGCTCGGACCCAAGGCAACTGGGTGGAGAAACAAGCCCCCCCGGAGAGGAAACTCCACATGGAACACTTTCTCCCCCCCCCTCTCTTTCTCCCTTCCCTTCCTCTGATTGGCTGGCGGTGAAATGTCACCTGAGCCCAAAAACCCAGGGTGAACAGTGTTTCTCCCAAAAGCCCATGAGTAAGGGCCTGGGACTAAAGATGCTGGGTCCCATTGGCTGCCATGAACAGCTAGGGTCCTAACAGCAGACGCGAAATGGTAGAGGTTAATGGCTGGGGGCGGAAACCTGGGGGCAAAAATGGGGTGGCGAAGGGTACGAGGAGAACAGTCCTAGACCCGCCCTGACAAATGGCTCCGAGTGCCATCTGTGGCATGTGTGCCAGAGGTTCACCATCACAGNCTTTGGTGCAGATGCTCTCAGTGTACCCAAAAAGACAAGGAATGGGTGTCAAATACCCCAAATGCCATCACCTGTTCACAGGAGTCCCAAAGGTGCTTTTTCAAGCGGCAACTGGACTTCCTTGTTTTTCTTTGAAGAGGTGTCGCTTCTCACCCAAGAAGCTTCTTCAGTTCTGACTGAATGGTGGAGAAAGGAAGGCTTTTTATTCCTTGCAGCCATCTGGTCATTTGTACTCTCCCTAAGAGTCCTTGAGGCCACTTGGAGGTTCACCTGTGCCCTCAGGGTCGCCTGAGCCAGAGTGCAAATGGGTGTGGAACCTTCTGGAAACTGCTGAAAGGACAGTGTTGTAAACAGCAGATAGGTGGTATTGAATCTCCCCCCCTTCTGTTGAGAGAGGGATCTTCTACCCTAGCGTAGACGGCCTCTGTGACTCCTCTTTCAAACCACGGTCTTGGAAAAATCCCCTCTGGGACATGTGTTCTTGGGGGAGGAATGGCCATTGGAACTTATGGCACTGGGTTGGAAGTAGCTCTGGAGACTGTCGGTCACTAAGCACCCTGTCATAAGTGGAGGATTGCCTGCTAAGGCTACCAGGAGGTCCCAAGGTCTCCTTGCTCTTGCTGTTTCCAGAGGTCTTTGCGGCAGGCGCCCCTTGGCACCTGGCCACTCCCTCCCCGTTGTGGGGGGCATCGACACCATGCCCGGCACCTGGCCCTGGATGGTCAGCATCCGGACCCCGTTCAAGTCTGGCTACCAGCACACCTGCGGAGGGTCGCTCGTCGGCTCCAGGTGGATCCTCACGGCAGCCCACTGCTTCAGAGACATCAGGTGAGTGAAGGCAGGTGAGGGAGGGGCCAGGTGCGTAGCTCAGGGGGTCTGCGGGAAAGCGGTGGCTGTTTTGCAGGAATGTCATGTGGGCCCATAAGACAATTCGTCTCATGGCTGCCTCCGTAGTTCTTGACCGTAAGGGAGGAAATGGGCAATTCGGGGGCTGCGTGTGTAGCCTTTTAGCCACCAGTTAAGACCGAACGCTGCCTGAAGTGCACCATTATTTTCTTTTTTTTCGATAGAAAATGTTTTTATTTTCCATTTTCATAGCATATAATCACATGTATACTATTACATAGTCAATATCATGTTGTATTATTAAGTACCTACATCAATTCATCTTACCATCAACTACCAAAGGGGAAAAAACCCCAGTTATTGGCTCTTCTGCTCTCCATACACCATATTTATATCTTATCCGACACTTTCTTCCTCCTCTCTCCTCCCCCTTTCTACATCCTGTCTTCCCTCCATCATCATTTTCTACTCTACTTCCCCTTCCTTTCTCCTTCTCCTCTCT